GGACAGTATTAGCCACCTCTTCTCCTCACACATACCCAGCCTGCAGAGACTTTGGGGGTCCCCAGAGACTCTGTCCCAGGAAAAGTGGGTTTGAGAGGTGCCAAAGCCGGGGCCCCCATTGACACTTTTAGGGACTCAAAGATGCTGTCTGAAGACAGACATCCAAACTCTACTGTTAGTTTGGGGAGCTCAGGAATCCCCGGGCCCACAGTGGGGCCCAGCCCAGGAGCCCCCCGTCCCCCATTTTACTGTGTCTGGATGTAACCTTATCACCATCACCGGAATAAGTGCACATTTGCGACTGTTCCTAGCGAAACACAGGTATCATCCCAGCTAACACTGTGGTCACTTCACACGGTCCAATGACCTGGCTGGCCCCCCTTTGAGCAGAAGGCCGGGCACTGCCCACCCGCAGAGGTGGTGTGAAACTGTGGCAGGAGCCAGGTTGGAGTCAGGAAGCTGGGGTGGGATCTAACTCTTTGGCTATCAAAAACCAAAATCCAAACCCAGTGCCATTGAGTCAGGACTAACCTGTGACCCTATAGGACAGGGTATAACGGCCTTGAGTTTCTGAGACTATAAATGACAAGAAGCAAAGAAGTTGGGCCCCTCTGTGTGTGCCCTTCACCCCTTGGCCAGGTCAAGTGGGGGCTCCTTGGCTGTGACATCAGGTGGGTGGTAGGCCTAGGCCCTGTGGTGGAGGGGAGGGTGTCAGAGGCAAGAGGGCGGGCCTGGCTTTGCTGCCCCCTCCTGTATTCCCTTGGGAGAGTTGTTTCACCTGGCTAATCCTGCAAGTCCTGTCAACCAAACCCTTGGCCGTGGAGTTGACCTCCCATTTAGCAGCCTGGCGCTTAACCTGACACACCACCGGGGCGTCTTCTTCTTCTTTGGTGGGAAGGGGCACTAATGGACAGCCTTGCCCAGAGGGAACCTCAGCGGGTGTGTGTGTGTGTGTGTGTGTGTGTGTGTAGGAACTGCACAGTGGCACTAGCTCAGAAGGATTAGGTCAGTTTCTCCTTCTGGGTTAGGGGTCAGCATTGAGTCGCTTAAGGACACCCAGATGCAAGAGTGGGGTTGACCCCTGCCACAGGCCTGTGTGAGGTCAGAGGCTGGCCTGCTGGGGCGGTCCTGGCCTCCCTGGTCAGTCCTGGTGTCCCCCACCCTGCATCCACCCACTGACTACTCTTTTT